GCACTTTATAAGTCACTTCCAAATAGATTTATGCGGCCAAGGCTGCTCCGCTACCCTTTCACAGTGGAAAGGTCCCTTAAGAAAACACCTTCAAAGGACTGCTCCAACTCTCCTTGAAGCCAGGAGAGGCAAATCATGCGAGTTAAAGCTGGGGCTAAAACGTGCTCAAAAACCTCAAACCCCTCAAAATCACCATTGCTTCCACAGTCTCCTGAATCCCAGATGCTGGAGCCTAATGGATAATGCTGAGCTATCAAAGCATGAACGTACGTGGAGTTTCTTTATTCCCAGCATTACATTCTTTAAAGGAGTCCATTTCTCAGCATTAATGTTCATTTCAAAGCAAGGAATTTCACTCGGCCTCTCCCGGGACCCCTAAAGCCCCGGTGTTTGTATTCCACCCCTGCAGCAGGAGCAAGGGGTGGCAGGGAAGTGCTAAAGCCAAATGTTTCCCCCTTTGCAGGATGCTGGAGAATGTGCGGCGACACCTCTGCTCAAAGGGAACGGCCTTGTTTAGACAAGCCGTGGCAAAAACAGAGTGCTGGCCCTGGTGGAACAGCTTCAGGGGCTGGAAGAGTGTTGAATATTGACTTTCAGAACTTGAGGGGGGGTAAATCTGTCCATGGTTTCCATGTAGTTCCAGCCTGAGGCTTTGCGTCCCCCTGGAAAAATGTCATTCCTTGGCTTCTGACCCACCAAACTGAACTGTCGGATTAAGGAACGGAAAGGCAGATATCTTTGGCTAACACTTGGCAGCCAGGCCAAGACAATGTCTCTCCACCATCATTTGAGTAATCTCCCCTTGGAAAAGGACCAGACGAATGTTCCCGTTGCTCAGATGATTCCAGAAGAAATGGCTTGTAAACAGCAACAGAAACTGTGCCAGCAAATACCAAAAGGAAAACTGTACCATTTCAACTACAATTTTGGATCTGGCTCCAGTTGCAACACTCTGAGGAGCATTAAAAATTACCACGTCCATGCAGCTCCTGTCTCCCCACAGCTGCCAAGGAGCATCACAGACCTCACAGGGCGCACCTTGTTGTGGGATGCTGTCCCTCAAGACATGGGCCTTCCTCCCTAATCCCATCTGGGATCACTTGTTCATGAGGTCTGGTTGCCCTGGTTGTGTAACAGCTGAGGCTGCTCTTGCTCATTCCCAGCTGGAGCCCTTTTTGATCCTTGGGAAGGGATGTATCATGGTAACAGCTGGCAACCCCAAAGTGCCAGAGGAATGGCTGTGTTTGCACTTCACTGGTCTCTGTGCCCACCAAATCCGAAGCAGCCCACTTTCCTGTGACAGGGTTAATTAATAAGTATCAACTGATGCAAGAAAAGGGCTTTCAGCTCTTCACTCCACCTCTCCTTTCCACTAATGCCTGGCAAGCCATTGCCTGTGAGCAGGACCTCACTGTGCTGCACTGCTCCTGAGAAGAGCACACATTCCAGAGGGGCAAAAGGATCAGCATTCTGCAGATGCAGCAATTTTAGGGCATCAACACCACGTATTGTCATCGAGATCAATGTGCATGGTGACCCTGTACTCAAACATGTCAACAACATCAAGAGGGCACAGACTTTCCATCTGCACCCCTCACCCACATGTGATTTCACCTATAGCTCCCTGCACCTCTGAACTTCAAGCACTAAAGGACTTGGTCAGCACCTGGTCAGTGAGCAACAGTACAAATGCCCCTGCACCCCTACCCAAAGCTCAAGGGTGAGGAGCCTCCTAGACCACCAATCAAAACAGACCAAGAGGAGAAGGTCAGTGTTATTCCAGAACATACATGTATGCCAAACATACACCAGTCAGCAGGGAGCCTCCTTGGGACAGCTTCTGCCCAGGCTGTCTCTGTGCCCACATCTGGTACCCACCCACCAACATGCAGCTGGTTCTGCCTCACTGCTCAGGCTCTTCCAAAGCTTCACCCTAAAGGATCACATACTGATTTTTATATTTGGAGAAAGACAAGTGGATTGTGTAAGTGTGGATAAAACCCATCTGTTCACTCATCTATCCCTTTAACAAGGATGGAAGTTGTTCATCGAAATCCCAAAGCAGAACACGTGCCAGGAGCCATCCCGGTACCAGACCTGTAGGATGCTATAAAACACACAGGCTCCTTAAACCCTTCCTACAGGAGATTCACAGCCATGAGCTGCACAAACCCAGCTGGGGAAATGCTGTGCTAAAGCCCCACTTCTGCCCAACGTGGTGGAACAGCAGAGTGTGACCAGAGGTGAGAATAAAGCCTGAAATTTTCATGGCCCTCGACTCCAGCCTGACAGGTTCTGCCCCATCATAACCACATCCCAAATCTTCTCTCCATCCCTGAGTGTAAATCCCACTATCAAGTGGAGCTACCTGGGAGGCCGGGGAGAACAGGCTCCCAGGAACACCGTCTCACTTCTGTCTGTGGAGTGGCGAGACGGGCTCCCGAAAGGCAACAGACTGGAACAACTGCCCTGAGCTTCCAGGGCTCATTAACTCTCCTTGGCCAGATCCCTGATTTGCTACATGATGCATGGAGCAAGAATTTCCACCCTCAAGTCTCCAGAAAAGTAGTTCAGCATCCCGGGGCTGATCAGCCACCGCACCGGCCTCCCCGTCCATCGCAGATACCCAGTGCCTTCGATTACATCATGCCTGAAACCTGGAATGTAGCTCAGATGGTGAAGGCATTAATGGCAGCAATGTAAGGACTCAACAATGCAAACCTTCCCAAGATGAACTGTCCTGACCTTCTCTGGGCTGACAATAAAAGTGTGACATCATGTGTAAACGAGCTTTAAATTCAAACCAGGTGCCGAGGGCTGCCTGGCGTCGGCGTCACTGCCGTGTGAGCAGTGCTGCTGCAGGCAGGAGAAAGGCTGAGCACAGACAGGACACACTTGACAACAACCCAGGTCTGGGCAGCTGGTGCAGCACAAGACAGAACTAGTTGGTGCTCTTTGGTGCCGGTTCCAGCTGGGGCAAACACCATGAAGTAAAACACAGAGCTGCTGATATTCATTTCCATGTGTGTGAGCGGTCCTACAGCTCTGGAATCGAGCCAGCAGCACAATAATGAGGAGTTTTTTCCATGTTTCCTTATATTCAGGACTCCCTCAGACCTTGCAAAGTGCTTGGAGCTGTACTCATGGGACACAGCTATTGGAGAGCTCTGTGGTTTACAGCCAAAAAGTGCATCCATCCTTCAGAGCCCTTCTTGGCCAGCCATCATTCCTCTTGCTGCTATTCCCTAATGGAATGGTCTGTCCTCCCTGCCTGATTCTCACCTTGCTGAACAAAAATGCCCTTCCTCAAGGGCTCTCCATGAGCCGTTTTTCACCCTACTCTGCATTGCCAGACCAGCTGGTCACCCTCCTTCCACATCCCAGAGGCGGTGCCGGCACAGCACAGCCACAGCCTCCGGATCCCTTTTGCTGCCTCGTGTTTATAGCGGGGAGCAGATCAGAAGAGGCAGGTTTGCTGTCCATGAACCAACACCTGGGAGGACAAAACCTGCAGTTCTTGCTGGACAAGCTATTTTTTTGCATCCATTTCAACCAGGAACAATTTTTAAGAAGGATGCCCTTCCCTGGTGAAAGCGATGCTACATCCTGAGCTGGGGTGGCAGCAGCACCACTGCGGAGACAACGCTTGGTTGTGTCACCAAACGGGCACGTTACACACAAAGCACAGATGCCAATCATTAGTTACACAAGTACTGTTCTTTATTTTCTGTTTGGCTTTTCTGGGGACACGCCTCGGCTGTCCTGCAGCGAACCTGAGGCAAGGAGATCTCAAAAAGGAAAACCTATTGTACCACACAGAGGTTTGACATGAGCTGGGCAATTTTTACACACAGATCACTACATGAATTTCTTTTGAGAATTCCATTTCCACATGAAGCGTGGCTGGATGATCACAACTGAAATGCAAATACCAAAACCACCACCACGAACTGCAGAAATTAGGCAGAGCTTTTATAATACTGAAAATTCTCTCCCACTGGCAGTAGCAGTAAACATATCCAAAGGTTTCTCTGAAGGCAGAGAAAATACAGTGATTGCTTTCAACATGAAAGTCAATTGTAAACCAACAATCTCAGGTAAAGTGTTAAAATAAATCTAACTGGGAAAGGAGTTCTACAACAATCAACGTTACTCGAGCTCCTGGACTGATGTGAACCTCAGTCTTTAATCAGAAGAGCACATTAGGAAGCCCACTACAGAAATATAAATTTCCATCTCCTTAAGTAGGGACATTTGGAAACAAGTCGACTAATCTCGAAGTATTTTAAGTGATCCACTGATAAATATGTCTATCTCTATTTTTTATAGTAATATCAGTGTAACCTGATGCTAATGAAAGTGCTTCATATTCTTCACAAATAATCCTCAAAATTAATTTCAGGAATTCATTTTAAATGAGCTGGGCCATATTGGCAAAATATCCAGAGGTCACTAACCCTGGTCTAAAGAGAAGAGGACAGGACAGTTTGACTGTGTCTCAATTTTCACTATACAATTTCAAACAAACTCCTGCCACAAAAATCAATATATGAAGATCCAAACTGCTTAGAAATATGGGAATAAAAGATGAGCATTTGCCACAATGCAAAGCCCAGTTTCGAGGGCTGTTGTTTGTCAGTCTCCTTCCTGCCATGTTGGTTACAAAAGACACTCTCCACACCCAGCTTGCCACAGCCCAGTTGAAATCTGAGCAGCCTTCAAATGGAGAAGGGATGGAAACAGGAGAAAGAGAGAAAATAAATCAAAGGCAACCAATGAATTTTCATCTCTTACATTGTTCTTCCCGCTCAGCTGGGGAAAGGGAATCTTGCCAAGGGAGTTCACAAATGCTGCGGGTCCCTTCATCCATTCCTGTCCAGTCTTCAGAAAAGGTTAGAAAATGCCAATGACATGTAATAAAGCAGAATCACTGAAATTTATAAATCTGGAAATTTGGAAGGAAAAAAAATCCAGACACAAGAATAAAGAAGAAACAGCATTTGAGTGAGCAGAGAGTTCCAGATTGGAGGCCTGTTTTCCGCAAAAAATTCATGCAAATACTCAGTTGTAGCAAAACACACACACAGGGCACAGAATGGCCATGGGAGATGTGGAGGATGAAAATAGTGTTCTTACTCTGCTTTTTCATTGTGACAACGCTCACACCTCCTCCTAAATTTGACAACAGAAATTCCTTCTCTTTCTGCCCCTCTCCCTCCCTCCATATTTTAAGTATTATAGAAACTTAGAAGTAGCAGCATTTCTAACTCTTTTTTCAGATGAAGGGTAACAGACATCCTGTAACCCCCTGTGCTATCCCTTCTGCACCACAGCCAAAATGTAATAATAGAGCTCAGCAGAGCTGTGAATTGCTTCCATTCATCCTCACCAAGTATTAACTTCATACACTGGCATTCATCATTCCAAAGTCTACCTACCAGGACAGTCAGTGGATAGCCAGGCTAGTTAGGATAATACCCAGGGATTAAAAACAATACTGTAGTGATTTCTGCAGCGTGACAGGAATCCACTGTAAAATTAACACTGCATTTCAGGTATTTTCTCAGTCACATTTTTAAGATGATGCACACAAACCCAGCTGCCTGGGGGCAAGAGAGCATGGCAAGACTCAGCTTTTTCAGGGGGCCGAGGAAAGAGCAAAAGGTTAGTAAAGCTTTGCCAACTTCCTGTCCCCTCACAGATCATCTAAGTATTCAGAGTTAAGCCTTGCTGGTTAGTTTAAAATAAAGTGACTGTAGTGATGTCCTACAGGTACACTCCACAGTGTCTACAAGAGCAGATAATAAATGAGAAAGAATTTCCATAAAAATTCTAATAAATACACTACCTAAATTCTAGTGTCTGACAAAAATCCCTGAGTTCATTCTCATCAATGTAAGGTCTTCTGTTTTCCTATGAAGTTTTGGTTCAGTCACACAGAAAATCACTTGCTGATGTACAGTTGTCATTGCTTGCTGAAGGCACACTTTTGTAAGGTACATATTTAGCTTTTTACAGTACTGCCAGAGATTCCCTGAGTGTCTGAATCCCTGTAGTGCAATGAAGCCCACGAGACACAGCTATCAGAGGGCAGCTACACCTGGTTATCAAGAGTTAAACAAGTTGGGAGAACTACAACAATAAAATGAAATTAATTTTTTTTTGGCAGATAACATGTCACACCTCTCAGTCATGTTGGTTTTCTGCTGGTTAAACAAGCTGACAGGAGCCACTGCCAGTGCCACAGAACGAGTTGGAAACTCCTGGCCAAGAATGGACATGCTGTTCCTGGTACTGCCAAACGAGATGGCTCACCTGGAATCATAAAACCTCTGCTAGAAACTTTATTATAAAAATAACTGCAGTATTTTCCAGGGATTCTTTTCTTTGGTAACCTACCAAAACTTCTGAGTTAGTTCCCAGGCCTCACCACACATGTCTGTTTCTATATTAAACCCCTAAGTAGAAGGATATTTCCAAGCAAAAAGGATTCCTGAGGCAGTACCAAGCCACACCACCCGGGTGCTTTCAGGCCATCCATCAAAAATGAAAAGTATCTTATGGATCCCAAGAAAGCCAAGTGATCTGTTGGCATGAGAAATCCTGGTTTTCAGGCTCAGGAATAGAGAAGGTGATTCCAACTCTACTCTTTGTTGTTCCTCCCTATTAGACAGGTGAGGATCAAGCACATTTAATCAGGCTTTGCTTCCTTAGGGCAGGAAGGCTCTGAAGAAATGAGGCCACTTGAAAGCCATGAGATGCCACCTGACAGAAACAAATGTTAAAAACCTTACCAGGATACCAGCCACTGCTCCCATTCTACCAACAGGAGGACCTTTTTTGGGGGCAATCAATACTGTATTCAGCAAAGCCCAGCTGGTGTTGAAAATTGCATTCACATTGCATTTAGGGGGGAAAAAAAGGAATTATAAAGGACTACATGGAAGTTTATAGAGATCTGAGGTAAAGTAGCACAAATGTAAAATTTCCCTTTGTCTTCAACAGAGACAGATTTTCACCTTTCAAGCCCAAACTTTCTCTGACACACAACAGAACATAAAACATGGAAACACTCTAGTTCAAACCTGTAACACTTGTAGAAATGGGAATAAGAGAGAAAAAGAAGAAAGTCTTTTACTGGGAGAAATACTGAGGTACACTGAATAGTATTCAAAAGCAGATACTAACTGAAAAATGTCTATTACTAGCTGCAAAATAAAAGTACTTCCTAATGCTACTAAAAGCTATTATGCTCGATGGGCAAAGCCTGCTAATTTAACAATTGCAACAGAATGATTTAAGTGTGCTGACACACAAAAACTGTATTTCAAAAAGCAATTAACAAATATTATCATGACGTGCCCATTAAACTGGGCTAAGGCACCTGGTTTCTGGATCCATCTTAGGATAAATTAGGGTAAACACTCGGAATCAGAAAATTCTTACTATGAACTGGCTGAAATATTGGAAATTATTCAAGCAATGGAAGTCTTGCCCAGTTTAGGATAATGTGCACTATCCTAACTGGAAGTATCATGATATGCACATAATGACTGATATAACATCTGTTCACCTCGTTGTCTTTAAAGGGGGAGTTATTTCAAAGTTCTACTTTTGTTCACTATCTGCCCCATAACCATTTTTGCACCGCAGAAATTCTCAAGAGACCTTTTTACCTGTCACTGTTACATCATTAAAAACCGGTCTTTCAGAACGGCAAAAACTAATTAATTGTCCAGCAACTGAAGAGAGTGATTGCAGATTAAAGCAGGACCATCATGAATGTAGTTGAAAAGAGCATTATTTCTTCCACAGGCAGCTTTGGTCAGTGTTTCTTTAGGATGTCCAGCCTTCACTGCAGTAGTGTTGCCACGTCTCTGGTTCTTGCTGTCCTCCTGGAGCTCAGTTCAGACAGTGTCAACAGGCTGCTACTGATCAATCCAATTGTAAATTATCAGAACTAAACTCAGAAGGCCAACACAAATGCCAAAAATAACCAAGGCACACGCCTGTGAAGGAAGGGAAGCAAAAATTAATGTTTTGCTGGAGGAAGCATTTTTTATGTTCAAGGTTTATGATCAATGATGATGAAAACCTGTAAGAACAGGTATAAATGGCATCTTTTAAAATAATCTTTATTATTTCAAATTACTCAGTCTTCAAACACAAGGTATCTGCTTAGGGGGACACTAAACTAAGCCTGGAGCAGTTTGGTTTGCCTGCTCACTCTATCCATCTGCACAAAACAAAAATTATTTTGCCCTTTGCAACTCTGAAGGAGTTAAGAAACTGCATTTGTATTTTACTCAAAATGCAATTAAAATTACAATGGATTCTCTACATTTTTTGAATAGCCAGATGATAATAAAATTACCATTCAAGAGATAAGGCCCCAAACCTGCTGGAACTACTCCTGACTTTAAATGGTCAGAGGGCACCATTATTAGAATTTCTTTCGGATTCCCTGTTTTGTCAATACAAGAGCAGCCCTGTGATTTGTAAGAATGGCAGAAAGACTATAAATAAAACAGTTTGTCAGCATTTTGGTAACTGGCATGAAGTTGCTCTGCTGAGCAGTGGTTAAAATGAAGACAAGCAGTTACAGTGCAAAAAGCAGGCCTACTGCACAAATCCCAAACAGAACTTAACCTACTATTACCAAAAGAGAAACCACAAAGAGGAGAAAAAAAAAAAAGGAAGACAAAAAAAAAAAAAAAAAAAAAAGATGCTTGCATAGAAAAGAAGCATAAAAACTGTTTCACATAAATGCAGTTTGGCTTTGTCCCAGCTGCCCAGACAACATCAGAGTAACGTGTAAAAACTGAGGAGAAATTGGATTAGAAGTCAACATCTGAAAACTATAGGGAAAGGCACTTGCTCAGATCAATGGTCCAGCACATGGACACACTGCTTGTCAGAAATCCCTGGTGAAGAAGGAGTTTCAGAAAAACCAGAGCTACTACAAAGGATAAAACAAAATGCTCACAGATTTTGCGAGCTGCAACAAGAACTTTGTCCCTTGGATCGTGTGCTCTAGAGTGTATTATGATGCATTTAAAATGAGCCTATTTAAATGTTATTAGTGCACACGAGGGGAAAAAAAAAGCATACCCCAAGTTTCTGTGGTGATACGAAGTCCTCTCTGCTAAGTTTAAGATAAAATAGTCCAGGATATACAAAAAGCAAACACGTTGATGTGGTTGAACCTTTAAAAAACAGAAAGTAAGAATTTCCTTAGAGAAGACTGAAGTGCATTACGGAATCATATACTGAATTTTTTTCAAGTTGAAATAAAAACCAAGGAAACCAACCACCACGAGAACTTACCAACTACTCCAAATACATTCTTAATGTCTGGCACATACATTGCAAACAAAACAACAATTGTATTCAGTGTTAAAGTCACAAGGATATGGCAAATCCACGACACAGGAAGATGAGAGAAAAATACCATCAACAGAGCTTTCCTTGCCTACACAATACAAAGAGAAACATTGTGTGTGTAAACACAAACATACACATACATTTTAATCTTACTTCACTTTCATTACATTAGGAATTATACCATCCCAGATGTGAAAGAATATTTTAGGAGTCAAAATGTCAAAAATTTAGTAATAGTTTAATGCTTTTATCTTTCTGCAGCATAGAGTTTAATTTATTACTTTTTTAAAGCAAGATCTATCACATGGATATTAGTCCTAAGGAATTACTCCTTTTTTGGAGGGACAAAAGAAGGCCTGGGTGATAGTGCTTTGTCTCTCTGAACATCCTTGGTAGCAAATGTCAGTATGTTGCCAACTGATACATAATCTATACAATATTTCTACACACGTAGTTTCTTTTAGTCATAACTGAATGAATTGTCAGTTCTACCACGGTATTGATAAACTAAAGTAGGGTTTTTTTGTGAAATAGGTCAATGTGTGTTTTTAATTTACAATTAAATTGAGTTTCAAGTATAAGTGTGTTTGTGGGGGGGTGTGCGTGGGTAGAAAGGAAAAACTAAGTCAGCAAAACTCAATTTAAGGGGGAAAAAAAAAATCAAACTAAATAAACTTTAGAAGTTCTGAATTCTCTAAATTAAAAACAATGCTGTGGGCTAGTTTTAATCTGAAATCTGTCTCAAGAGCACAAATTAGCTTAGTGGTTAGTTGTTATTTTGGAGCTTTCATGGAACATATGCAAATATGTGGTCTTTGATCAATCACTTGACAAGTGAATAAGATACACAAGACTAGATGTGACTCAAATATTGCACTCTGCAAAGCATTAGCATTCCCAGTGCTCACTGCCAGCTTCAGAACACTCGGGAGTACTTACTGGGAAATGGATTAGAGGGACTGTCAAGAGCACAGCCAACAGGATGGCTACTTTAACAGTCATGATGACCATATCATGGGGCAGGTACCTGGAGTAACCTCGTAGCAATTCAGAGTCCACTTTGTCTGGAAACAAGAAAAATTAATTGCTTTATTAATCATTTTAGGACTAAGATAATTTACATGGCATATTAAGATGGATCCATCTGCTTGCGACTAACACAGTGAGAAGGGGGATTCAGATACACTCTGCCATCAGTGATACAGTAAAAGTACATAATCTTCAGAAAAATGAAAAAACTTCAGGAGGCAAGCCCGGGCAGAGCCTCTGCTGAAGCCAAAGCTGCCTAAAAAGAGCATAAAAATATAAAGGAGACAGCATAAAAAAGAAAGATGATGCAACATGAACCCAAGTGTACAGTCAAACTTGTTGTGTGTCTCTGAAACAGTCAACATCAGAGTCTTCTGGCTGAACCAGAAGCCAGAAACAAATTAAATTTTGCTAAATTGACTGAATTGCATTTCCTTTTTTCCACCAGAAATGCAAGGTAAAATTTCAAGCTGCAATTCTAATTTAAAGGAAGGAAGAAACTCTGCTGGTGTTTGTGCCTTTACTGGCTGTGGGTAGCAATATATTGCTGGATGGCACAGAGAAGGAAAAACAGCCTCAGTGGGCCAAAAAGGGGTGAATCAGTGATGAATTCCTCACCTTTAACCACTGCCCTTTTAAGGTGAAAATTTTCCCTAACTTAACAGCAAAAGTCAGAGAGCCATGAAAGCAGTCTGCTACCCTGACTTTTTTTTTTGGTTTTGGCATTCCTGCTTTCTTTGGACTTCAGAATGGACCAAAATTTCCAAAGTCCAGTCACCCTGTGAAGTTTCAAATTCACAGAAAACAGAAGAAGCCATGTGAACCACAGAAAGAGGAAACATGTCTCATTTCAAAGAGGGAACTCTTCTTTTGTTTTCAATTTAAAATAAAATGTTTTACATTTTCTCAGGCTGGTGTTTTAGGACCAGGGAACAGATTCTCTCTAAAGAAGTAAGTTAGTTAAAAAAGGCAACCAAAAAGTGAAAAGGAGAAGAAGTATGCAAGGGGAAACAAACAAACAAAACAACCCTGTGACAGACATCCACTGTTGATTCCAGCACTTCAGGCTCTTGAGTCTAAGAATTACTAAAAGAAATCAGGCTTCAGAAAACTAAAAATGTTCCCAGTGCAACAGAATAAAAGGCTACAGTCAAGACAGGGTCTTGTCCCAATCATGACAGTGAAGGTAACAAGAATGGATGGTTTCCAGGACTGTTCTTTTTTCCCATTTTTTTCCTCCCCTTATTGAGATTTCACCTGGAGACTGATGGTTATCCTGCACTGCTGCTGAACCCCCCAGAGTTGCACTCAAAATTTTCCAACAAACCACATGGAATCACTCAGGAAACAGTAATAGTGGCTGATACACTATTAGGGGCTTTAGGACTCCCCATATAATTATTCAAAGGTTTCTGAGTATCAAGGGAATATTTTCAGACATACACCTACACTTGTGGGATAAAGGTACAAAATTCCCTCAAAATCTGGAATTATTAGCTGCTGAAAGCCAATATTCTTGGTGCTTTTTCAGACACAATCCCATCCCTACGATCAAGAAATATAAAACACTCTGAAAGGAGAGGAAATCCTAATCAGAACACTTTTGTCTTACCGCTTTACTGTCTCCTATAGGAATTTTTATTCATTCCAATCAATAAAGATTAGCATGTGATCATCTCATAAAAAGGGTCAGCTTTCAGAAGACATCAGAAGAATCCTCATAGATGACTGTGACACATTTATGTGACAGAATTCGTATGAAACTACTCCAGAAGCAGCAGGTTGGAGCAAAGCACACAACTCAAATTTACACCAGGACACACAGAGCAAAATTTCTTGGGAAAAGGCACCCCACTGTGATGTTATGTGAACAGGACACAAACATTGCTATATAAAACAGACACTCACCTACTTGTGCCAAGGTTGGGATGGACCTTTAAAAAAAGGCCACTATGTAGGTAAGGGGTCTGAAATCTCTCTGTGCACTTGGGAAATTTGGCCAAGAGTGTCACACAGACAAAGTCATCTGCGTTCAAACTCAACTAAGAAACTGTAACAGAAGCATTTTTAAGTCCAAATGCAGAGTTATTACACTGGTACTGAAACACACTGTCACCTAAACTCTACAGCAAATGAAAGGTGTGTGTAGAGTTTGGTAGGGCAAGTGTCATACCCCACCCACTCTTCTGATTGGTAATAAAAAGGTACATTTACTTCATCAAGCACTATGTCGACAACATCTCTAAGAAATGGGCACTTCTTGGTGCAGTTCATGTATCAAACAGACACATTTCTGGCTCAGGAACATGTAACATGAATTACTGACAACCAGAAGTATGTGCTGAAAAACCCAGCTCATAGTTTGTCCTTTTAAATTTTTAAAATCCTTCCCCAGTCTTTTGTCATTGCTCTTCACTGCATCCAAGTCACAGAAGTAGATGGGAAATCCTGTGATTCAGGCCTTCTCTGTCATTTTTTTTTTCTGGAGTTCTCTAGTTTGTCTTTACATTACACTTAGAAACTAAGTTACCATGAAGAAGGCACTTTTTGCAATCCTTTCAAATAAGGATTTCCATGGGAAAAACATGCTGCAGACCCCCATGCCTTCTCAGCATTTGGGCTGGCTTGCTGTGGGTCAAATTCCTCTCAGAAAAGGCAATGCCTCGGTGCTACTTAGAGACTACAAATCACAGGGTCAGTAAGTGATAACTCTTGGTAGAAGGTAAAGCCTTGGAACACACCTTTCAAACCTGTTGTACAAGCAGATTATTATTGGATCTCAATATTTCTTACAGACTATGATAAATCTGTTCCCAGCTTTTAACTGGGAATTATGCAATTATACAATCCAAGATATAGTGGCAATCAGTTTAATTGCACAGTCTTAGAGAGCATCAACAGACCAGGAGCTCCACTTTAGGGACCAATATCTTGTCTGTGTATCATTTTAGGACATAAAGCCTAGGAAGTTTAGCTATATTTATATTATTATAAATAATATAGCTATATTATTTAGCTATATTACTTTGAGAAGTCAGTGAGACTGTAATACTTTGCAGTGTTGGGCATATTATTAACTCTTGACAGGAATGAGATTTCTGAGGATTCAAGTGTATCAATGCCTGCAGCATTCCAGGCAGAAGACATTTATCATTAACTTTCATTCTAAAGAATACTTGAAGAACACACTTACCATAAAATGTCAGGTACCCAAACAGAGCAGATATAAAGTAAATCAGGAAACTCAGACCAATTCCTGTGACAGTTACATTCTGCATTCTACTTTTGGATGGACTAAAATGGAAAAAAAAAAAAAAGAAATCAGTGCTGCTCTTGATTTGTATTGAGGACAATTAAACCCAGCACCATCTACAGAGCACCTTGACTTTCACAAGAAGTATTGTCTTAATTTATGGCCACCGAGTATTTGCTGAGTTCTGTGCTGTCACTAATATTTAGGGGGTTTAAAAGTATTTTTAGACTGGTAATTAAAGGGCACTTTTCAAGCAGACAACTAACACTGTACCCATCTTGTAGGGAATTTAGACATCCCAGTGTATCTTTTAAATCAAAATTTGATTTATCCAGGATGATATCTATTCAGAGCAAGGAACAGAATCTGAGTCAAAAAACTCCACTGCACCAGATATGGCTAAATTCAGATTCAGTTACAGCAACAAAAATTTACTATTAAGGTACCTTAACAAATGACCTTTCTTGTCCTCGAGACTGTCCAGACCAGGACAATAAACTGACACTGATGAACCATATTTGCTACTTTTCTCTCCTGTAAAAGTCAGTACAGACTAAAACTGTACATTTCCCAAAAACATGAAAGCTAGTTAGTTAGCATTGTTTGATGGCACTGACTTGAAAATAAAAAATTATTGAAGATTAATTTAGAGAAAATATTACAAAAATGCTATAATTATATTTTAGTATTTCAAGTGTTTTCATACATTACCTTTGGAGCTCACAGTAGATGGGTAAGACTGAGGTATGGCAGAGAAAAGAGAAGGCCATGGTTGGTATTGCATAAGCACTCTAAAATAGAAGAAAAACATCTTGTAAGTTGTTTGTTATGACTGTTGGTTGGAAAAATATCTGGATGAACTCAGAATTCAGTTCAAGTGTTGGAAGTCAGAGGAAATATTTCCACATTAATGGTTTGATTTAAATCTCCACAACACAAAAATCCCACAAAATTGGACCTTTTCAAGTCATATCACTTCAAGTGGTCATAGCTCACTATTTTATCACCAGGAGAAGTCATGCTGTCTATAGGCCAAAACCTGCAAGATTCTTTTTTGGCTGTACTGAAGCCAACTGCTTATGTAGAAAGAGTAGGATCTGCCTCAGAGTCAGCACATCATTCAATAAATTCCCTAAGAAGTTTTCTAAATTCTAATATCCATAGCTACCTGTCAAACTGCTGGTTCCTTCGTCCTGACTTCATTGTTTTATCACTCCCTGACAAAAATTTGGATGCAGCATGAAATATAAATATTAACAGGAAATATAACATGCTTTGGCATCTGAAGGTTTAAGAGAGTTATGTAATTAAAGCTGTAACCATGCAATTAGTGGTTTATTACTCCAAAAACTTGTAATAAAAGAGATGAATCATCCAGTATGGCTTGCTGCAATTGCCAAGTGGAACAAACTGAACTACAACACTCTTGTGCTAACATAATCAGGCCCATACTGGTAAGGATATGCCACTTTCTACTGATAAAGCCAATTTTAAAAAAGAACTAGAGGTGAGTCCCAAGATTCTTCAAAGCACAGAAGGCCAGACAAAAGGCCAGAATCTCACAGTAGATGTTTCTGGTCAAAGCACCATTTCTGCTTTGATCTACAGATAACATTTGTCTCATGGGTGCATTGCCCAAGGTTTGTTTTTTTGGTTTTTTGTTTTTGTTTTTGTTTTTTTTTAAGTTTCCCCTTCCCTTTTTCTTGGGAGGGTGGATTTTGTTTTTTTCAGATAAATGCAACCACGTCCTTCCTAAATCCCACTACAGGGCTATCCCAGGTTTAATCTTACCTGTTTCCCTTCCTCTTCACCCCACAGCAACTAGGGTTCTATGTGACACTTCCTCTCCTGCAAGCCTTGATGGGTGGTGACATGATTTAAATGCCACATTAATTAACAAATACCAGAGCTGGCACCCAATGAGATGCACAAAATTGCACAAGTCCTGAAGAATTAGCTTCAGGTATGGAAAAACTAAGGTTAGGTCCAGGTAGTGTCAAGAAACCTGTTCTGCCTTGCCAGGAACTAAGAGAGTACCTACAGCCAAGTATCACTGACTTCCAGCTGAGGGCACATTAAGCTGGCTTGATCTGATTGCATCATGACCACTGCTGCATCTGTTAGACTTTATTCTTTGGTCATACTTGAAAAATATTTTCATAAATGTTAACTTGGACAGTCAGCCTTCATATATAAAAAAAGTGAGACTGGATAACACTTGGCAGCAGGTATAGGAAATACTTCAGCAGCCTATAACTGGTTTTACAGAAGGACAGCTTACCCTGGATAAGGTTTAAACCCCAATTTTTTAAAAACCACCCCCCCCCTTTAAGTTTGCGTATTGTTAATAGAGATTACCTCTTTTGAAAGATGAAAGAGCTTTGCTTTACAATCCCCAGTAGAATTTGAAACCTGTAAAACATAAACACAAAAAAAGGCATAATGAAAGAATAAGCCCAAGCCACAGACATGAAACTTTTCAGTTTCTGTGATGATTAATAAAAGAAGGAATTTAAATTGCAAGCCATTCTGAAAGTGTTAATGTAAAAAAAGCACTACAGTTTACTAGTAAAATTAGAACTTCAAAACAGAGTGCACTTTACCTGTAAAGCCTCTATGGCACTGCTCAGAGGTAGAGGACAAGGGATCGACCATTTTTTAATCATAACCTGCAAAGACAGCAGACATTTGATGTGTGAATGACAACCTAAAAATCAGTTTTCAATTTAGATACACGTAGCTAAAATATCAGCCTGTTGGAACACACAGCAGGGAGCCACACCCACAGTAAATTACCAGGCCTGCCTGGCAGACAGGCCACCAGAAGGAAATTCTGACAGAAAAGCTTGTCAGTGCCATTCCATCCAGCTGCTCACTCTGCACAGCTGGCAGCCTTATGGTGTGGGGATCTGGAGGTGGGGCACTGCAATGGGCTCTGACATGAGCTGAAATACAAACAGCACTCCCCATCCACTCTCCCCGGGCTCCACACCAAGGGCCTCCCGTACGGAGTAGCCACTGTGTTAGCGATCCCTAAGTAGACGAGCCCTAAACAGAGATAGAGCAGAGCCTAGGGCTAATCTTAAAAGGCAGAAACATATGGTTTGGACTAGAAAGCAAAGGAAAAACAATAAATGCAATTATTGTCCCAGAATGTCATTGGGCCTTTAGCTACACCCTGCTGGTTTAGGGACTGCCAAGTAACAGGGCTGAAAATCAAAGGGAAATTAAAATAAGAAATGCTACCTCCTTTTTCAGGAGCCCAGTTTAAAATGATAGTTGCATTGCTCTCCTCAACCCTAATTAATTTCCTATTGTAGTTGCCTGGCTTTAGAGGTTATAATTCTTTTGAAGCCTAGAGCAAATAATTAAAAACTTTAAAGACTCGGATTCACAAGAAGAATAACATGGAAGGGAGCGCCTCTCCTGGCTCAGAGACCCACATTTTGCTTGCTGCCAAGTGGTGTTTCCCAGAGGATTACATGCTCCCTCTTGTCACCAGCGCCAGGAGAAGCAAACAAATGTTGCCTCCGGACAAAATGTGGGGAAAGGGAACTGCGAGCGCATTGTGGCAATAACACAGGTCTTGGACTGCACAAGGAGAACAACTGACTCAAGGTACGGAACTCAGTGGCAGCCTGAAAACGTTGTGAAAATGGATTATCAAGGGAAATCCTCCAGTCGTGTTTCTGACAGTAAACTGGCACTGCTTTGTGCCATTTACTGATTGTCTGAACTGCCTCCCTCTGTGCCAGGGGAACGGCACCCTCACCTGAGGGAGGGTGTCAGAGGGGACAAGGACTGGGGGCACACCAAGAAATTCAACTGAAGAGCGAGAAGGGGAGAAGGACGAAAAGGCCAAACACTAAAATATAACTTGGGCCTCTCTGGTATTTAAAGGCATCCAGATAGGGGAAATGCAGGAGAAGGCTCCAAAGTAGTTGGCTTTGTGGGAATGTCATCTAAAGCTGGGATAGGCTTCCTGAGCACTGAAAAGGGCCATGGAGCTGAAGGGCAAGGTTTGGGGAAAGTAAAATGTGCCTGGCAGTGGTGAGGGCAAGGTTTCCTGCCAGCTAAAGAGCAAAGTTATATATAAACATTGCAGAGGGAGGACAAGCCAAGCCGAACCTAAAAGGCTGAACAAAGTTTTTCTAAAATAAATGTAATACAGATTAAGAAATGGAAACTAAAAAAAAAGGACAAAATAAAATGCATTAGGTGTGTTTAAAATTTATATTTACATTTGCCCACCTGCTTAATTATTCAAATCTGTTTGGGTTTCCAACTGTAGTCTAATGAGGTCCCCCCAACAGGAAGAAATTTTTAAGCTGGCAGCACAGCCCAATTAGCTGAGTAGTCACACAGGCAGCACAACCTTCCTCTGGAACTTTAAGCCTATTTCATATAAACGTTCTTTTGAGTATAACAAACATTTGGTTTTAAGTAAAAAAAATAAAAAATAAAGAGAAAGTCTAGTGGAAATAAGGTATTTTAAATCCACACCAAAAACACTGCTAAAAAATCAAGTTAGAGGCTCAAAGTGTTCTAATATTCTCAGTGATGTTGCCTTTTCATATCCTGCAGAGGGAAAACAGGAACCTCTTTACTCCAGCAGTACTGACAGCACTCAGCAAAGAGTGCATAACATCATTCATTACATATGGCAGGTTCCCAATCTGCATCACATTTTGTTCTGGGAACATAAACAAGAGATTTAGAAAAATACCATCAGTAATCATTAACACTTCTGTTGAACAAGCTACCAATAATGCTGTCTACACACACATACACACACACACAAAATGTGTCTTTACTCTTCACCAGTACTCAACACAGCAAGAAGGGAGGCAGTAAAAAAGAAGTTTACCAATCATAATTTCTTTTCACTAAGGACTGAAGTCAGGGAAGTATTCAACAATCAGAAATGAAAGTGCTCAGGACCTCACAGACTCTGGCTTTGATTAACATGCATTTGTTTATCTCCCAGGTCAGCTCATCTCAGTGTTTGCAAATTTTTCCTAGTGAGGACTAGGACCAGTAAGTTGGCTTTAAAGGAAAAGACACTGAAGATACTGAAGCTACTAAAGCACAGAGGGGAAATTTGTGAGCTGCCTAAGCCCCAGAGCAGAGCACAGAACAAAGAAGTCTCCAGCCCTTTGCTCAGTGCACTCACTGACCAGACTGACCAAGACCTCTCTTTTCTGCAGGCTGCAGTAAAAATGTGGCTTCCTGGCAAAAAGCTGAACAGATGGTGTGCACTTGAAAAGGCACAGAATTACTGTATATGCAAAATATAATTATATCACTTCCATATGACTAACACAGTTTTCTTCTGGAACAAATTAAAACATATCTGCCACACAGAAATTAACAGTGTGCAAACTAAAACACCATTTCAACAGCACATATCACCCACTTCAAAGCAATTAGATATGAAAACTAAACCACATTTAATGCCTTTGACTTTCAGTGCCTAAAGAAGTAGGAGAGATTATTCTGTGAAGAGTATTGGTTTTCTTTAAATATCTGTAACGGCTTTTAAAAATTTTGACCTCAATTAGATTTACTGTGGCTGCTCCTTTGTCATTTAACAACAAAGAGTAAGCACACAAACTGAACCATTTCCTAAGAAATCCAGTAGTCTGTGCTCCTTCGTTAGTACCTTCTACCCATCTTTTTGATAGACAATCAAAAGTAAAATCTAGTTTAAATCATCCCAGCTTGACATGGCTGCACACAAGTCTTCCTTACACATTTGCTTTTTCAGGGGCCAAAATTGCTTTCAAATGCATCCACCCATTACAACAGCTTTCCTCACACTCCCATCGAAATCCAGGAACTGAACTGGTTTTAAAACCCTTGCAATTAGCTTCAGTCAAAGGCCTATGTCAGCACTACAGTTAGTGCTTTTTCTACCCTTTTTTTTCTTTTTTCTTTTTTTTTTTTTCTCTTAAAGATAAATTTTAGGAGAGAGGTCAAAAGTTAAGGTAATTTATAAATATTACAAATTAATTTCCATTAGCTCTGGAGGGGCTGTGGCTGCTCCTCAATGTTCATCTTAAGAAGAATACTTCCCAAGGTCCTACAAACACTGCAGCTCTCCAGGGATACCCCAGGGAGATGTTTTGACAGCTTTGAAGTTTGGTTTTATCACATGGTTTAGTTCCTAATGGATTGCCTTGGTCTCCTGGATGGCATGTTTGTTCAACTTGCCTTCAACTCTGTTTATCCCTTTGTAAAACAGGTATTAAATGCAAGTCAATGCAAGCCAGAATGACAGGGGAGAGGGGGAACATTTTGCCAGGCTCCCAAAAAAGATTCCAAGAGATGACAGAGTGAGAGCTGCTCGGTTCTACGACATATTACACATGTGCATTAGCACACTTTTTCCCTGTAAAAAGAAAAATAGTGCAACTTAAAGGCACATTTTCCCTCTTAGATCTGCCTAGCAGGTCTCACTTTTGATATTTGGAAACATCTACCTCACAGGGGCCTTGAGAGGGTGAACATCAGGGTCAAAAGCCCCCATATGGCTCAGAGAAAAGAACTTTTCCTTTCAGCTGGAAAGAAGAATAAGGTCATTGACGTATTAATGAATCCTGTAAACTGCCTTAATGAAGTTCTAGTTTTCTTTGCCTTTTTTTGAACTCTGTCACACCATTATACATGTAAATTTAATTTATTTGGAGTATATTAAATTTTCTTCTGCACTAGTTGCAGTAAGTAATAGTTAGAAGCTAAGAAAACAGAATTCCATTCCTCTGCTAGTAGGGAAACAAAAATATATGTGCCAGCTCCCTTTGCTGCACTGTCAGCAAAACAAAAATATTGTTACATTTACCAGCCCAAAATATAATTATTTTAAATCTTTTCACATGTTTGGAAGTTCATACACATTTCTAAGCCTCAGCAAAACAAATGTAATCTGTCTAAGCAAGCACATACTGAACTTAAGGAAAACTCTAAATTTCACATAAAAAGTTAAGGGGGGAGGGGAAGACAATTAATTTCAAAACAGTGTTATGAAAACATTCAAACAATAAGGAAGAAAAAAAAAAGATAAGCTGTGCAGAGATTTTTGACTTACCACAAGAGTAAAGTACACCGTAAAGAAAAATGATAAACTACTTGTGTAGCCAAGAAAGCCTGTAAAATAACAGTAAAAATAAAAGAGAATTTATAAGGAAAGTGATCCTAATGTACAGCTAAAGCTTTACATTTTAGGCATGTTTTCTATTACAGTGCTTGGTATCTGGGGCTTAGGACTCAGAATAACAACATTCCAACTGCCTGTCACAGATCATTTATGTAGTTTTGTAGGGCAGAATTAGAACTGGCTTACCACTAATGGCATGCTGTAAGTAAATGCAGCTCTTTAATGTTCTGCTGTAAAGATTTTATTTTAGTATTGCAGACAAAATACTACTGCAACCCAAGTAATAGGTTAACTAGGCAGGGCTGGAAGGCAGAACACACTACTACCACTTAAGCAGTCACCAGCAGCACCAGCCCCATGCAAGTTTAAATAAATAAATAACCCATTAAGGTTTTAAAGTCTTCAATGGTAATTGCTACTAAAGTAGAACAATATTCGCTTCTCTCCTTTAATTACTCACCAATTTTAGGAAGAAGGGCAAGAGGAAAAACAATGCAGACTGAAGTAATGAGCAGCAGCAGCCTCCCATCGAGGTACCAAGACCTGTTGGAAAATCTATTTAGGACTGATACAAAGCTCAAGAGTCCTATAAAATATGTTCTCATTTAGAACTGTGATCTTAGACAAAATAACCACTAGGACAAGAAAAAGAAATCATTTCCGGTCTCACACACAATTTACATGAATTTGTATTCCTAGTTTCTATACTGTGATATAAAACAGAGCTCCCAGATAATGAGGGGGCAGAGCATCATCCCAAACTAACCAGCACTGCAATGTTCCACAGGCAAGTGTCTGCATGGACCAGGGGGCTGATGTGTGTCAAGTTATTTCTCAGCAGCACAATATGCAAATCCCTGCCCTGATTCACAGCAGTGATCAGAGGGAAGGGGATTTCATACTCCACAGATTTTCAACAGAAGTACTTACAGAGCACACTACATGTATTTTAAACTGGATTACAGTGAGGTGTGTATTTACACTGCTGGAAGAAACAGCAACATCAATTCCCACTCACTGCTGAGCTTCCCTTCCAGTTTATTACTTCTCCATGACCTTAGTTCCTTACCATTTCCAAGAGGTGTGAGACAGAAATCTCAGCTATCCAACCGATTTGTTTGGAAACACAGTTACATTTTCTGAACGTATCAACTTTCTCTTGTACCCAAGTTTCATTACAGCTATCACTGTAGCATTCGAGCAACAGAAGAAAACAACAAGGTAATAAACTTTCAGTTGCTTGGAAATTATGTTTCCTGTCCAGAGGTGGTATAAGAAAGTACAGCAATGAAGAGGATGTTCTTCAATTTTGCACAAAGTGATCACTCATTCTTTGTATACCTCCACACAAGAATTAAAGGACAAAAGAGACTGAAACTATGATAATGAAATCTGCTATAATATTCAACCATAAAACTATACATAATAAAAAAGCCCTGTAGAGGCACGTGAAGTCCTCGTGCATTTAAAATCTGTTCGAAGCATCACAAGATCCCACCTCCAAACTGAGGAGAGCACAGATGGATAAGTTGTTAAGAAACAGAAACATCTTGAGAGTGGCTCCCCTGACTTGGCAATAACCATATCCTGTACTGATAAACATCTTGCACATCAGCCTCCAACTTTACTACCTATAAACACCCCGACCTTTGACCTTCCAGTTTATTTAGTCCAGGATATGGTTAGCACCTAATAAACAGGCAGCACCTCAAGTTATCATAGGGAAAGTACCATAACACCTGCGTTAAAGAAGAATTATCCTACAGGTATATTAACTGCTGCTGTACATCGTGGGCAGCCACTTGGGTTATAAAAGTGAACAGAGAGATTTCAAGGCTGAGGGCATCTTCACCAAATCGAAACCAAAATGACCATTAGGTGACAATGTCTGTATTAAAAATTAGTTAAAATACATCATTCATTAGCCTAAGTCTCCTACTGCTACAGTGAAGAAGCAACTTTGCCAAGATTAGCTCCCTGCTGTAGTATTTATTCTTCACGTTGTTGTCATTTGGCATTCACGTATTTTTACATTTTTTCTTTCTTTTTTTTCTTTCTTTTCAGTATGGTGGATGTTCAGATCAGGAGGAACAGCATCATGGCAGCAGACATAAGTATAATGTACTATGTGTGCATGTGGGACCTCTGTTTCAGTCTCCTGATTCTAAACACGCAGCAACCCCACAGCTGCTGTCAAGGTTCACAAGCTCAGCAGGACAGAGAGGAAATTATTTTGGTTACTTTACTGTGGGTGAAGGGGGGAAGAGAGAGGAAAATGGCAATGAGGTGATGGGAGGGAGAAAACACAATTTTGTAAACTCCTTAATTTTGGAATACCAATTCTTATACCGAAAAATACCTCAAAAAAACTGAATAGGGGACAATTTCCTGGTTATCAAAAAATACACCCATTTTCTCCTCAAAGTACTGTTGTAAAAATACACTTATTTTCCAAGAGCAGAATAAATGTTTTGATATTGCCTCTAAAATCAATCTGATCTGCAAATTTAATCCCATATGATAAAAGCGTTCCAAATATGAAATACAGAATATAAATCCTCGACTCTACTGAAAATGCTTTGGCATGCAGATGTTTCTCCTCCCTCCTCCGTATTTTAACTGAAAGCAGACATTTATAAATCGCTTTAATTTCATTCCTGAATTCAGCAGAACAAGATATTCATATGTTCTAAATTAGGATCTTACTCAGTCCATATCAATTATATAACACACAAGCAAGACAACTTAATTGCATCAATCACATCCTCTGACAGGGTCATTAAATGTTAGCAGAGGGCTCACAAATTACAACTTTTTAATACAATCCTCATTTGAAACTATGTTCATGTCATCAAAACTACGTGGAATTCTTGTTATGCACACAGAAACATCTCCACCTGCAATCAACAAGTGTTCATATTGTGTGGGTTTGTTTTTAAAAAGGCACGAGGATGTGTTGGACTGGCTCTGAGCCTTTCAAACACACACACACCTGCCAACCTTTACCTATGAAAACAATTTAATGCACAAAACATTCTTTAAATGGTTTTCCCAAATGCACAGCTCAGGAGGGTTTATGCATGTAGAACACTTTCACAGATAGTTTAGCTGACACTTTTGATACATTCTAACTACATTTAAAGATAAATGCTGCACCAAATGGAAGTGTATCAGATGCTATAATGGCTTAAAAACAGAAAAGTCGTGCAACCACATCTGGAAACAAGTTATCCAGGTAAAGAAGTTGATTTAAACTAGTCAATATTTATGCCCTCTGCATAAATAAGTTGTTGCTTAGGCTTGATATTTGATTACCTATTTTTGTTGAAAAATTGCCTACAATTTAAAATGTCTGCTGGAAAAAACGTACACTTAACATCTGTGGGGAAATCCACAGAAACAAAAGATTGTGATCCACCATGGCCAGTAATATGGCAAAAGAAAGAAAATATAGATGTGAGCATACAGAGAAGGTCAGCTGTGTGCATGTTGCTGGAACACTGCTTGACCACTGCACTTGAAAACTTTGCTTGGACAAGTATTAAGGGAGGGAAATCGTGTCAAATAAATATTGATCAGTGGAAGAACTCCCGTTAACAGAGGCAGGAACTGGATGAGACCTGGGCTGCCAATCACCACTGGAGCCGTGGTTAGGATTCCTATGGCCAATCTCAGCTCTTTCCAAATGCAAAGCTGAACTTCATTCCCACCTCAAACTGTAATTTCAGAGAAGGAAGAAGCGTGGGTGTTGCAGTGCTGAGAGTGCACTGAGGATTACACAGCCCAGGTGATCTGTAATAACCCCTTCAGCACTGTAACCTGTCTGTGCCTTCACCAGTGTTCCCATCCAGAAGATCTGAGGTGCATTATCACACAGCCACCTTAATAAAGCAGTTTTTCATGCTGCCTTTTCCAGACCAAAAAAATCCTTTGAGCAACATGTGGGACCTCCAGGTTCTACCCACTACGAGTTTTCTTAAGCTGTTTGTTTTAAAGTGTGTCTTTGCTGGGAAAAGTCACTTTGCGTGAACAGAGCTGACATAAAATTAAAACCAGTAGTAAGAGATTTAAAGATACTAAATTTGGGGACAGACAGACTGGAACACACATTCAGCACATACAGCAGGAGCTCAAGGTCAGTGTGTATGGAGAGTGGGGTTAATGTATGATCTTGAAGAAGGTTATAGCACCCAATTGAAAAGCTGATGACTACCACAGCTGGAAGAGATACATTAAGCAGTCTAAAAATTACATACACACATAAAATATAATAGTTTTAAAAAAAAGAAAAAAGAAAACCAACAGAAACCTTACTAAAACTGTAAGGGCCAAAAGGGCAGAAAGACAGAAAGCAAGATTACCACCACAGTTCATTACTCAAATTCATTATAAAATTCCTAAGTTGTAAGTGAAAAATTATAAAATTAACTAAGGTACCTTTTAACAAACTGATTTCACTTAAAATTCACCCACAACATTCAGGAATAATACAAGCATCGCACAACCTTGAGACAATTTCAGCACATTTCAATCCAGAGAAAGTTTTGCGCTCAAAACATCTGAAAATAGCAATCTGGAAAAACAGCTGTAACCCCATCCAAGATACACTGTTATGAATGACAGTGGACTGGAACAGCAGCACTGGAAGAACTCAAACAAGGTATTTCAGTGCTGAAGCTGCAGTGTTTGCCTTAGCACAGGCACAGATTCCTTGTGACAGTTCTGACGGAAACGTGAGGGACACACTCCTTACACACAGCTTTACAGCTCAACTGCAAAGAATCATTTCTTTACTGGGAGCCAAGTCAAGGAATTATAAACCAAGTCTGGAAACCTGGCATTTTTCCCATGACAAGTCCAATTACTAGAGCAAGACAACAAAATATTTAAATATAAATGCCTGCCGTTTTTTGTCCTGTGGTTTTGAAGTATGTGAAGTGATAACATGACAGCAGTTTAAATGTTTCTCCTCCTCTCCATCCTGCTTCCCCTTTTAAATTTTTACAGAAGGGAGATTCTTGTAGATGGAGTTTTGCCACTGACTTTAAGGTCGTCTGATGGGAAATGCTATGAGGAAAGAATCCCACTCTGTGTGCAGTAGAACACTTGCACTTGCCAAACACATTTTATATTCCAACAACCGCTGTAAATAACTATTTATTTTTTTTTTTTTTCAGATGAGAGGAAGTGTCAGCACCCACCTCCTTCAGCAGTCCTGATCTGCTTTTTCCTTCAGGACAAATACAGAGTGCATGACATGAAGCGTTTTTCCTTACCCGCTCTCGGCTCCACTCAAGAATCCTGCAACAGCCCCAGGAAGCTCAGACTTCACAATTAACAGATAAGATGACATGGCTGCAAAGAGAAGCAGGACAGATTTAGCAGAGGAATACCAACATCTCAGGCTGTGACAGCCAGCAGGGCTGAACCAGCGTGGTTCCGGCTGGAACATCCCGGCTCTGCATCAGACACCACGGCACCAGAACCAGAATTTATTCTCTCACACACTTCCTTTAAAAATAGCTGCAAGTCCCCGAGTGTTGCACTGATGTCAGCTAATGCCTCCAAAGAGGCTGCTACAATGTGAGTCTTGGAATCCAAAGGACTAAAAGGCAAGATGATATAATACAGAGGTCTGACCTTCTACCTGGCAATACAGACCTACGGGTGAGAGACAGACAACGAGGCTGCAGGACTCCTCCTTCTTCCTCACAAGACATTATTAATGATGAGAGTAAAAAATATTTATTTCTATCAATACAACAGGCTTCTTTAATGACTCTGTTTTTAGTGTTGTTCAACTGCTGTTGTACTAAATAATTATATGACAGAAATTTATATAAAAGAATAGGACTTCAAAGGGATTTTTATACACTGCAAAGTTTGGCCCTCAGAGCTAAGAGGATTATCAGTGACAGACCCCTGATTCTCATGCTAAACCCACCAGCCAGAAGATCCCAGCAACAACATCAAGTGCAAAATATACAGAAACTGCCAATCAGAAGAGAAATTACTAGGTACTCCTACAAAAGCGTTGACTTGAAATTAAGTGCTTATAATTCTATTCAGCGGAAAGCAATGATACAAACACATAAATCCAAAAACTCCTTCACTGTGTCAGTTTTCTCCTTTACTACAGAAAATGATCAAAGGCATAAATGGGAGGGTTATTAAATTACAACTTACACTAATCTGACACCTTCACACACTGTTCATGTCACTTTTTCATGTAAGCAGCGTTTAAATGAATTAAAAACTAGCAGAAAATTACTCAGAAAAATCAGCTTTACAAAGAGCTTCAACAAATATCAAAGCCTACATGAAACTAATTTCCATCCTTCAGCATCCAGTAATTTTAGTAACTTGCCAATAAAAGTTTAGTTGTATTTAATTCTTGACAAAAATTTTTCTTTTGTGTTTAAATTTTACTGTTCTGTACTCAGTAATTCTGTAGAATTTTACCGTGCCATATATATTAATGCTTTAAAATTAAAACATACATCTTGGAAAGGTAAATCAGCAAACTTCCATAAGCTGATATTTGGTTTGGTTTTTTTTTTAAGGAATGTTTTGAACCTTAAAAGAAGTGTGGACTCAGACACTGGTGTCCTACAGCAGTTACTGTTACATTTTGAAGAAAGGTAATGTGGTCTCTACAAAGAAAGCAAACTCCATTAATACAAAGTGACATATACCTACCACAAGGTTAAATTAAAACCAATTTGGCACATCACTAATTAAGGAAATATTCACTTCTTCATAATTAAAAGCACTTTTTTTCCAATATTCGAGTGCATTTCCCTGTTGACACATAGCTGTTGATTGTGCCTGGTGAGCTATTTATCTGCTGTCCTGATTTACTCTCCTGTTTGCACACAACAGAATGTAGATCCAACCACAGAGAAGGCTGCAGCATGCATATTTCTAAATCACCAGAATTGTAAGTAAATTAACACAGTTTCTCACACTAAGCTGCAGGCAGATGCAGATTTCACCCTAAATTTAAAAAAAAAATAAGAGAGGAAAACTTTGCTAAATTGTAATTCAACTTTATTTATCCATTAGCCCTCTTTCTTGTATGACACAATACTTTATACACAAGCAAGTCAGAATTTGCACGTATTTATGTCCTTCAGGAAGATTTCAAAACTGGTTCTTTTGCAGTCCCCGCTGCAGAAAGCTTTGAATTAATTTCCAGATCAGATTTCCTCCTAATATGCAATCTGTCACTCTGCCCTTGCATTCCTATTAGCCTCTGGCTAATCATTTGATCACTTATCCTTTGTTGTGCACTTACTCTTTGTTTTTAGGAGGAGTCCTATTTCACTGAATTCCACTCCTAAGGAGGGAGCCAATCCTGCACCAAGAAACTTGCATCTTTCTTCCTTTCTCTGGGCATATGGGAAACAATCTCACATAGTAGGATTTTCTCCCCCCTCTTTATATTTTCTTATTTGTTCTACAAGATGAATAATTAATAATAAATAATTTTATTTCTATCCTGATGCTTAAATAAGACCTGAATCTCATACATAAACCTGAGCAGGATGCCCACAGTAAATACAGTTTAAAAAGCCAAATCCTGCTTTTAGTTCACTTACAAACACAATTTTAATTCTCCTCAGAGAAGCAGCTCCTTGTAGCTTTACTCAGTGCCAAGTGAGACACTAACCACTGTGTAACTCTGAGACACACTACAAAAGTGAGCAAAGAACAAGGTTTGTTTGGTGTTTTAAAGCTGAAACTAAACCAAGAAAAAAACTAAAACAATACAACAGCATTTTGTCTGTCGTGTTCTATGCACTTTATTCCTTGAGTAGGAATAAATAAAGTAGGAATTCCTACTCTGGGAATAAAGTGCATAGAACACGACAGACAAAAAGTCCTGTATCCTTTGCTCCAAATAACAAATTGTACTTCACTTCCCTGACACCCACCACGAGCGAAGCCACGTCAAGTTACATTGTGCAAGTTAAATGTCAGCTCTCCTTGGCAGCCCTGATGTGGAACGGAAGGAAGAGATTACACAGCCACGAGACCGAACTGTGACACAAGTGAACACAACAAAGCCCCACCGTGTGCTCTGATTTATTCCACTCTGAAATACTGACACGAGACATCTATTTTGGGACTGAACGAGACAGGTTTCCTGCAGAACAAACTGTGTGCAGGGGCACAGTCTGAGGCTTCAGCAATATGCAGATGCAGGAAGTCCTGAATTACAACTACACGAGCAACCTTCGTACAGTCACTTCCTAATTTTCAGGTCCCAAATTTGCACCTATTATGCTATTTTTAGATAATTTTCAGTAGGCACCAGGAGTTACTCGATGGAGAACTAAGCAGTTCTGAACATCTCAACAGGCCATAAACCAGTATTCAGCAGAAATCAAAATTATATTCACAGTTTATTATTCAACAGGCTCCTTGAAAGCAGCAAGAAACTACACTCTTAAAATACGTATCACTTCATAGTGTTCTGAAAACTTGGTATTAGCTCTCTGACAGAAAAAAGATGTTTGATAAATACAAAATATATTTGCTTTACACTTCCATTATTATAGCCTGCAGTGCCACCATGAGCTGTGACTCTCTAGAAATAAACATACCATGCATGTATAACTCAGAATGCCCTTGCTGTGCTACAGCATTGTTCAGCACTGAAGATATGTGCCCCTACCTGAAAAAACATTAGGTGCTGGAGAAAAGGGAAGCCAAGGTTATGTTTTTAAAACTGTCCCCAAAATCTCTTCTGAGGTAGCCCAATCTTAAAATCAAATATGTGGATGGTTTTTTGGTTACCAGAAAAAAAAAAGTGTCACTTTTTCTTATTGTCCTATCCAAAACGAGACCAAATGCTGAAGTCCATAGCAATTACACCAGAGAATATATATATTAAATTTATTAGTGATAAATCCCTTCAAATCATTTAACTAAACACGCTGACCAACTTTTCTGATCAGTTTTCCCTCATCTACCACTGATAATATTAGAGCTCTATAAAGATGTTAAGCACTGTGGAAAAATGGAAGCAAGCTCTCTTCCAGCCTTCCCACAAGAGAAGACAGAAGGCTGGGAAAAAAACAGACTGGATCAATAAAAGCACACAGGCTCCACAGCTCCTAGTTCCAAAAATATTTGGGAGTCAAAAGTAGGCAGAGCAATCCTGATTTTCAGCTGAGGGAATACCAGGTAAAACAGGGATTCCTCATAAATATCTATAAATAAAGGAGATAAATGAAAATGCTTTTAACTCTCATCCTCTAAAGAGTTCAGACAGGAAGATACCAAGTTTTCCCAAAATTCTGAAAAAGATTAGAGGCTGAACAGCAGAAATAGCAGAATAAACACTCCCAGTCCCTGCACAGTCCAGCCCATCCAAGCTGGATCCTTCATATCAACTGCACGTGACAAACCCCTCTGGGCTCGTGCCTCCCTCTGCTGATACAGGGGTTGTTTAAAATTGAATCTGTCCTAATCCAAACAACGTGGCAAAGTTAAAAAGGAAAGCAAGGAAGGAGCTCAGGAAAGAAAGTGAAACCAGGGAATATTTTGGGCAAGCTTCCATTCTTCCTGTTAAAGAATAAGAATGGAATAGGAAGTACTTCAGTGTTGCACTGAGCTTCTTATATGTAATTCAAATTGTGGAAACATCAGGACTGATGGATGGATGCCACTGCAAAACATCAACCATTTCAGCCCTCACACCTTATGGCCTTAAAAGTCTGCTCTTTGTGTTCATTTAGCACTGAATCCCCCACATATTCAATTTTAAGAAGCCTCCCAATACCTTGATGGATTGTTTGTAATATTTCCTCTTAGTGGAAACTTAAAAAAAAAAAAATCTTGGGATAAATTGTCTGTTTTAAAATACATATGTAGAATAGAGTGTGTGAAAGATGTTTGTTAACATGGAGATATTCCGAGAAGTGAAAAACATTGTCAACTTCCTTGCCAGTCTTCATATTATGGACGCTCATCCCAATGAATTTCTGCTCCCCTGCTTCCTTTTCCTTCTACCTTTATCTTTTACCTAAATTTTTTTGGAACTTACCTATGGCAAGCTTAAAAAACAAAAAGTCCTTCTTATTCTATAGGGAACACTTGGACAGCAGATTTATTTTGGTAAAACTTCATTAGTTTAATTACATGTGTACATTTACACTAAAAAAAAAAAGGAAAAGTTTCCTACATAGTTCATCACATATTCCATTCTGAAGTACAGCTGCAGGTTGGGATTTTGTTGGGGTTTTTTTGTTGTTTTTGTTGGTTTTGTGTTAGTTTTTTTGGGGTTTTTTTAAGTTTTTTTTTCTTTTTTATTACTTAAAGCAGGCTTAATATTCTTTACAGTGTCA